GTTTGGGTCCTTTTTCAGAATCATCTCCCTAAAAATAAGTTTATAGGCTAATGGAGGGGAAATGCAACAGGAACCAAAAGAAGCTAGGACAGATATTAATTACTTTCCTCACGATTTGTTCTTGGGATTTCCTGTCTCATAGTATTGCCTATGATAACCCAAAAGGGAAACAACTTACTGTTTAAATTTCTGTCTTTCTTTTATTACCAACTTGCTGAGAAAAAAAATAGGGCAAAGCTGCTAGCCCTCGCCTTCTTGCATGAGGGCAACAAGTCTCCCAAGGGCGCCCTCATCCACACACTCTGAGTGGCAGAAAGCAACTGAGCATTCCGTCTGCTCCCTATAGACCTTCGAGGTGAACAACAGATTACATCATCTTGAGGGACTGGAAGAAACCGGAAGTACTTTGTCATGTGTGAAACATACGTGCACCCATGGGAACACACTTCTTGCCTGCACCTTTGGGTTTCCCACGCCACTCAGTCTTTGCATCTTAACAGGCAAGGTTTGCCAACCCCTTCCTCAAGAGATAGAAACTTGCCTGATTGTCTCTTATTGGTAAGGGATCGGCAATTATGGCATTAGGTATCACTTTGCAGGTTGTTGATGTCACAGAGTTGTGAGATAGCTCAGTGGGCAAGGGAACTTGTCATGAAAGCCTAGTGACCTGAGTTCAATCCACAGTAGGAGAGAAATGGCTTCTTAAAATTTTCTCTGACCTCCACTAGGGAGGGGTTCGTGCACACACACACAAACACATAATAAATAAACATTGGTGTCCCGCTTTTCCTCAGTGATAGATGTGAATGGTATCTGTTGGAAGGAAAGGATTCCATAAGGTATAGATTTTTTGCCTTGTAGAAAATATGAACCCAGTTTTGTATTTCACTCTTTATTTTAGCATTTTCTTTCTGCTCATTGTTTCAGCTGATTGTATTTCCTTCATTCTGTTGATTCTTTTATTTATTCAATTAAATATATTTCCAACAAGGTTGAACTAGATTTGTTAGAATATTGTGGTTTGGTTTTCATTTGTTGTTTTGTTTTTTTCTGAGATAGAGTCTTACCGTGTACCCCTGGCTGGCCTGGAACTCACTACATAAACCAAGCTGGCCTTGAACTCAGAGACCTTCCTGCCACTGTCTACCCATTGCTGGGATTAAAGGCATGCGACACCATGCCTGGCTCAGAATATTCTGCTTCTAACTCTCTAGAAGTTCAGTTTGACATGGTCCTCTAGAATGAATTATTTGACCTAACAAGATAGCTTAGTGGTTAGAGGCCCTTGCATGCAGAGTTGATGAGCTGCGTTGGATCCCAGTTCCCACAGGTGGTAGGATAACAATGACTCCTGCGAGTTGTCCTCTGACCTCCACATGCACAGCTAGAACTTCCAAGCTCCCTAATCACAACACAAATGCATGTACACACACACACACACACGCACATGCGCGTGTCTTTTTTAAAATAAAATAGTTTTATTTGAAATATCCTATGGTTGCCAATATAATGTCAAATCACACTGTTGTCCCTTTTCTGTAACGTACAATGAGGGAAGCTGCGAGTCCTCTTGGGTAGACTGACTGTTCTTGAACCACACATCCCCATGCACAATGAACAAATAGTACTTGACAACTTGTAAGGGGGTGCCGCACTTCTTAGAAGAGTACAGAAAATGGTTTCAGTTTTGTCTAGAAGCACAAACATCTTCCCTGAAATGTAACACAGGCTGAGCAGGCTGGGAATGCGTCCATCTTCACAGACTTGTTGTGAAGTGTGTGAGATGCTCGTGTGTGGCCTGAATGTGAAGTGTGTGAGATGCTCGTGTGTGACCTGAGTGTGAAGTGTGAGATGCTTCTGTGTGGTCTGAGTGTGAAGTGTGTGAGATGCTTGGGTGTGGCCTGAGTGTGAAGTGTGTGAGATGCTTGGGTGTGGCCTGAGTGTGAAGTGTGTGAGATGCTTGTGTGTGGCCTGAGTGTGAAGTGTGAGATGCTTCTGTGTGGTCTGAGTGTGAAGTGTGTGAGATGCTCGGGTGTGGCCTGAGTGTGAAGTGTGTGAGATGCTTGGGTGTGGTCTGAATGTGAAGTGTGTGAGATGCTTGGGTGTGGTCTGAGTGTGAAGTGTGTGAGATGCTTGGGTGTGACCTGAGTGTGAAGTGTGAGATGCTTGGGTGTGGTCTGAGTGTGAAGTGTGTGAGATGCTTGGGTGTGGCCTGAGTGTGAAGTGTGTGAGATGCTTGGGTGTGGCCTGAGTGTGAAGTGTGTGAGATGCTTGGGTGTGGCCTGAGTGTGAAGTGTGTGAGATGCTGGTGTGTGGCCTGAGTGTGAAGTGTGTGAGATGCTCGGGTGTGGCCTGAGTGTGAAGTGTGAGAGATGCTTGGGTGTGGCCTGAGTGTGAAGTGTGTGAGATGCTGGTGTGTGGCCTGAGTGTGAAGTGTGTGAGATGCTTGGGTGTGGCCTGAGTGTGAAGTGTGTGAGATGCTTGGGTGTGGCCTGAGTGTGAAGTGTGTGAGATGCTTGGGTGTGGCCTGAGTGTGAAGTGTGTGAGATGCTTGGGTGTGGCCTGCTCACGACAGGGGAAAGCCTGAAAGGCAGTCAGTGTGGTCCACCTCAGCCTTCTCCTCTGTCTAGGGATCTTTTATGTTGATAGGGCCCAACTTGTCTACGAAGAACCCAGACATGCTGGCACAGTTTGTTAAGATCCATGCTTGTCTACCGGTCATAAAGCCGCATCCCACAGGCTGCAATGAGTGCACACTGAGGGTGAGGGGCAGGCTTCCAATGAGTGCACACTGAGGGTGAGGGGCAGGCTTCCAATGAGTGCACACTGAGGGTGAGGGGCAGGCTTCCAATGAGTGCACACTGAGGGTGAGGGGCAGGCTTCCAATGGCCCAACAGGTCCACCAGCAGTTACTTCCACCCATCAGGTATTCCCAGGCTCCTGACTTTGCTCTGTTTCTGAAGTTTATGCAGTGTGTGGTGTGCGTGTGTGTGTGTGTGTGTGTGTGTGTGTGTGTGTGTGTGTGTGTGTACATGCCTTCAAGCATGCATGAGGAGGTCAGAGAACAATGTGTAGAGTTGGTTTTGGTTCTCTTCTACCACCATGTGGGTTCTGATATCCAACTCAGGCCATCAGGCTTGGCAGCAAGCTCCTTTACCTACTGAGCCCTCCACCACCCCATCCTGACCTAATCTTTCATATTCCTTTTGCCATTATGTTTTAGTTTTAGTTTCTGAGGCAGTGTCCCACTATGTTGCTGGCCTCAAACTGGCAGTCCTCGGCCTCTGTCTTCTGAATGCTAGAATCACAAAGCGACACCACCACACCCAGCTTCCCATTGTATCTTATAACCTAAAGTAGGATGATTGTAACACGGAAAAACAGCTTTATAGTTTGAGAAAACTTATACCCAGAGCAAACAATGATAAAACGTGAGTCTACATAACTTCAGGCAGCATCTACACTCCCAGAAGATGGACATGCTGTGAATGGAGTTTAGGATTTACTTTGGATCCAAGATGAGTGGCCATGGCAGGGAACACAGATTTAGTTTAACTCAAATATTATGTTCCAGGACAGAACAGGGCAGAGCAAAGATTCTTAAAGGAAGTCACTTTGGATGTACATAAGTGAGTTGCAAAGCAGGGAAGTCTGCATACGCTAGCTGATGACTATTGGCTTTGGGGATTGGTGGGACTAGCTCAGCACATTCCAAAGCTATTTACCCAACAGGCAAGGGTGCTAAGGCACCAGAAAGGTAGGCAATAAATACTGCTTAGTGGGTCAAGACAGCCCAGAATAATTTGGTTCTGGGCCTGCAACTTTCTTAACTCTCCAGTCACCAAAGTTCTGGTTAGTCAATCAGCCTTGTTATGGAGGTGGTACTTTTATCTCTGGGAACTTCAGTTAACACTGATGAAAGGAAGAAGACAGTATCTCCTTCCTCGACTCCCATCCCAGCCACAGAGTAATTTGTATATCTCAAGGACCACCCTTAATATAGACATCATACAGGGTCGGAGAGATGGTTCAGGGGTTAGGAACACCTACTGCTCTTGTAGAGGTAAATTCGATTTCCAGCACCTAAATCAGGTTGTGTGCAGTTGCCTATAACTCCAGCGGCAAGCTAGATTCTGCGCGCGCGCACACACACACACACACACACACACACACACACACACACCAAGTAAATAATGAAATAAAGCTTTAAAAAAAATGATAGCTGCCTCCCAGCACTTTGCTTGGTACATTTTAGTCCCTCAATGGCTGTGATGAATCATTCCAGCAGAAAAGAGATGGGCTTCTGAGAATCAGTGAGCATCCAGGGAAAGGTCGCTGAGATCAGAAAGTGTCCTGCTAGTATTGCATCATGGGAGACACCAGTCCTGATTCTGAATCCCGTTGTATTGTATGCTGCCTTAGCATAGGAAGTTTTATTCTGATTTTTGTTTTGTTTTATTGGACGGATGATATAAGCTAGGACCTCCTTGGATGCTAGATAAGCACTATTGTGCTGGGCTAAATACCAAGCCCTCTTTTTACTTTTTGAGACAGGCTCTCAATGTAGCATAGGGTGGCCTTGAACACACTCTGTAGCCAAGCCAGACTCTGAATTTGCCATACTGCTGGTCCGACCTCAGGAGTGGCTGGGACTACAATCTGCACCGCTAGCTAGGCGTTGTAGGAAGTATTTAAAATGCCCCTTGCAGGCTGGGTGTTGGGCCGAGTTCTGTCTCCTTAAAAGCCACCCACCAAAACTGAAGATGAATTAATCAGTTTGTAAATCAGAGCGCAAGGGGCGGGAATCTCGGCTAGCACCCTTCAGCCTCCCTTCACTCGGCTGGAAGGCCGGTTTTACAGCCCAAGGCCTGGTTTTACAGCCCAAGCCACCGAGGCAGACAATTCGGTGCAGAGATGGAAGTGCTGCGCCACATCGCGAAGTTCTTAGAAAGAGTTAAAAGGCACAGTGCCCAGCACGTCCTAAGTGGCTCTATTTCTACCTTGATCGTGGACCTGCCATCACGCGGGAAGAGAGTAGAACCCGAATCCGCAGAAGGGTCGGGAGGCGGGAACCCGATTTAAGAAGGAGGAGGAAGAGAGGAGAAGAAGGGGAAGGGGAGGAGAAGAAGGGGAGGGGGAGGAGAAGAAGGGGAAGGGGAGGAGAAGAAGGGGAGGGGAGGAGGAGGAGGAGGAGGAGGAGGAGGAGGAGGAGGAGGAGGAGGAGGAGGAGGAGGAGGAGGAGGAGGAGGAGGAGGAGGAGGAGGAGGAGGAGGAGGAGGAGGAGGAGGAGGAGGAGGAGGAGGAGGGTGCCAGGAGAGCAGCCAATCCCGCGCTCCCCGGGAGGAAGAGGAGGAGCCAGGGCCCGCGGGCCCCCGCACTGCTCACTCCCGCGCTGCGCCAGCCCTGCAGTCTCCTCCCGGTTCAGCGCTCCGGCTCGCCGACAATTTCCCTGGTTGCAGACATGGCCTCGGGTGCCGCCTGCGCGCCGGTGAAGGTGAGATCACCCTACAGGCTGCAGATGGGCCGGCCGGGGTCCTTCTCGCCCCTCCGCAGCGGCCGCGCCTCCCGGCTGTGTCCCCAACCCGAGCACCCCCCACCCGCGCCCGGCGGAGTGGTGCAGCGGCGGCTCGGCACTGGCCTCCAGCACACTCCAGTGTTCTCAGCCTTTGGACTCATCTGCGTCCCGGGCCTCACTTGGTGGTAGCCGGTGCTCTGGTGGGGGGCGATGGGTGAGTTGTGCTCCCCGCTGCCACCCTTCCTCGGTACCACTCCCCTCTGGAGGTGCTCCAGGCGGGAGCTGACACGTGGCCCTGCTGCTGCGCTGGTCCCTCCTGCCTTACGGGACTCGGCGCTTCCGCCCTCTTGACTTGGCCCACGTGGGAGAGCTGTGCTCTTGCTCTTTTGCACGCTTCTGCCGCCTCCCTCCCCCCGCGCGCGCCTCCAAACTTAGGTTTCCCTTTGCTTTGTTTTACCCCAGTATCGCAGAGGTGTGGGTGCACCAAGACTTTTCTAAATACTGAAAAGGAGTGCAGACCTCGGGTTAGGGCCGCTCCCTGCCCCGGAGGCCTCTGTCTTTAAACTGCTTTGCAGCCGTGAAAGTTAGAGCTTTTTTCTCGGGCCTCGGGTCCCTAGAGAGCTCTGCACAAGGGATTCTTGCACGCAGGGAACCGCTGGCCCGAAGAGAGCGTGAGTTCTGAGAGTTGCTGTGAGTCTCCGTTGGGTCTTTTAAATACATCCTGATTGAAGGGTACAGGGTGGAATTTTGAAGAGAACAGGAAAACTGGTGGAAAGGGCTAAGTCCTTTCTAGGCTGTTCATTATTAGCCAAGAACTCAGGTAACTTAGGTAGGGATTTCTGGCCGGTGGCACAGGAAGTGCACTGGTTTCTCCAGGCGTCTCTTTGGATTCCCCCGCAGCGCTGTTTGATTCCCTTGGAAGAGGCAAATCTCTGCAGTTACTGTGCAACCAACCTGGGCTGTGTATACTGGAGCCTTGCAGGGCTTCGTGAACCACTCAGGAAAAGAGGACGGGATGAGGATACAGACTTACTGCCAACTTTTTTTGGGGTGGAGGGCATTTTGAAAAGGATTGTTTACATTTATAGAAAGCCTCCTGACAGCAGGGACTAGGCAGAAAGGGTCTCAGTGAGCAGGGTATGGCACGCATTTATGAAGCGGGAATTTTACTACAGTGTAGGCTGGGAAGGCTAGAATTATGTCTGTATTGGGGCATACTTGAATTCTTAGGAGCGGAGATAATTATTTCCAAGCGTATCATAAGGCCTTACACCTTTCCGTTAACATCATATTGGGTGGGGGCCAGATGTAAACATTTTACCTTGGCTGAAGAAGGTGTACCTTGGAATGTAGAACCCAAGAAACTTCGACGGCTGTAGATCTTTTTTTTAAATCTCTGACCCACAATGTGAGTAAAACCAGAATGGCTGGTAGGTCTCACTCACTCAGCCCAATCAGGATCGGTGCAGGGACCAGCACATCTCAACAGAAGGATTTTGCTCTAATCTGGTTAGCATTCAGGCCAACACACAGTTTCCCTGAATGTGGTACACTTAAGAGCAGAAAGAGCTGTGTAAATATTGAATGATGTGTATTTTTTATCTTGGCAAGCTTTTGAAATAGAACTTAGCGATATAAATGGTACTAGGAACGCCTGCTGACTGCTCTCCCTAAAACTGCAACAGGTGAGAGCATCACTAATGAGAACTGATGGTACCCACACCAGAGTCCGCACTCGCCTCAGGCAGCACCTTATCTAGAAAATACGAAGTGCCTGCATCTAGAGCAAATCTTAAGGCTGGAGAGTGAGGTGCTACAGAGTGCTTACTACCAAGTGTGAGAGGGTGAATTTGGACACTCAGCACCCGTGGGGGGCGGGCGGGGGGGGGGCTGGTTGCTAGAGAGGCAGACTTAGGCAGACTGTTGGAACTTGAGGGCTGGCTGGCCTAGCCAAATTGATGAGCTCCCAATTCAGAGCCAATGCCTGCCTCACTGAAAAGACAGGTTACGGTTAACTGAGGGAAGCACTTAATGTCAGCCTCTGGCCTCTGCTCACACATACATGTATGTACGCCTTCGTATATACACACATGAACCTGGGCACAGCACCCCACACAAACTATTTTCTCTGCATGTTATCTGGCAATGGTGTTCTTACAGATGTAAGGCTGAGGCCTTGAAAGGTCAACTCAGGCGTCTGCCGACACAGTGACTGCGCCTGAATCTGCTGCAGCCAGGATCTGGGGACTCTGGTCATTGGCCCACCCCAGCAGGACTTTCGTGACCCTCTGCACCCCCTCCTGCTGCCGCCACCAAATGTAGTTGTTAACTAAATGTCCATCGTTCTGTTTACCAGTAGAACTCAGGAGTCCGAGGCGGGGATGGAAACCTGGCTAGATCAGAGAGGTTGAAGAGCCAGCCTTCCCTCTTAGCGGGTGTCTCTGAAACAGATCGTCCTTCTGCTGTACCTCAAAGTCCCTCCCTACTACTTCCCGTGAGTCTCTGTGTCCCTCTTCCAGGCTCCCTCTGACTCTCCATGGTTACTTTCTGTCAACTAGTTGCTGGCTCTGCCTCCTGACCCAAGGTCGATTTTACCTCACAGTGTGATCGGATATCCCACAACAAAACTGGGCCTAAATAACGACTAAGCCTAAAACCTGGCCTTCTCGTCAAGCAGATATGAGACAGTGCTCAGACCTGAAACACGGCCTCTGTTTTACTGTGTGAGTGAAGAGGGCGTCCTACCTTAGGAAGTACAGAGCATGGGCTGTGTGTGTGTACACAGGCCACCTCTGCAAGAACCACTGGGCATTCTCAAGTATGGGTGTAGGAGACACATTTGTGTCTGGCCCGTGGCATGCTGCCTGACTCGCCGCACCATTTCATCTGTTATTGAGAAGCAACAGTTTGATTAGGCACAGCAGTAGGAATATTCCCACATTGGCATTGGGACTGGAACGGATGAGGGCCAAAAAACTGGAGCTGAGGAGACCTGGCCTAGTCCAATGCTACCTACCTCTTTCTATGAGAGGTGTACTCTTAGGGCTAATCACACCTACTTTGAGAATTGTTAGAGTTAAACACAGTAACATATTGCACACACAGCTTAGTTCTTACTCCATTAATGCCAGCCCATTGTAAGATGGAAATGTTACTGGGGGCTCGAACCCTGGATTTAAGAGATACAAATAGAACATACAGATGAAAAGCCTTCGGTTTTAAATGGACAGTAGAGTATTTGGCATCTGAATGAAACCTAGCTGTCTACTGGCAGAATCCCACCCGAAAATACTTCATGGGAAACCTGCCAGGCTCTGTAAATACATGTTTGAGTGAGACGGCGTCTCTAAGTTTGTCTTGTATTGGGGATGGAGGACGATTATGCGTGAACTAGAAAGAGTCATGGAGTGGGGGGGAAGGCCTTCAGGCAGTGGTTTCTAAGCTCTGCCACCAGTGTGGTTGTTTGAGGAGATGGGGTGGTTGGAGGTGATTAAGTCATGATCATACAGCTTCCATGGTGGCAGCAGCATCACTGTAAAAGGCATCAGGCCTTGACAGCCACATGATTCGGCCATCTAAGAGACCATCTGTGAACTAAAGAGCAGGCTCTCCCGGGCACTGAATTATCCTTAGACCTGCCAATTGTGAGAAGTAAGTTTGCTAAGTCTTAGTGGTGGTCGTGTAGCAGCTTGAGCATGTTGAGGACAAGCTAATGTTTAAAATGCTGTTGAAGAACATAGGGGGAGGTCTGGGGAAGAAGAATTAGCAGGATGTGTGAGGGCCTTCGGGATATAAACCACGATAAGGATTGTGGATTTGCACACACCTTTAAACCCAGCACCCTGGAGGCATAGGCAGGTGCAGGCAGATCTATGAGTTTGAATCCAGCCTGGTCTGCATAGTGAGTTCCCGGTCAACCATAGCTGCGTATTAAGACCCAATTCCCCCCCCCAAAAAAAAGGGAAAGAATTTGGATTTGATTCTAAATGCTTTGGAAGCCATTTTAAGGATTCTGACGAGAGAGGTAGCTCTGGTTTATGCTTGAAGTGATTGCCTGGCTGCTCTGTACAGAATGGCCTGTTCTGGGTGAAGGACCGCATCTGGCCGGAAGCCATGGCACTTGTGCTCCAGGGCAGGCTGGCGGCCATGGAGGTGGCGAGGCTCTGCAGGCAGGCAGGGTAGAGGTAACTTGGGGAGTGTAGCGAGAGGGAGAGCTTGGTTTCTGTGTCTGACATCCAACCGGAAAGGTGCTGAGGAATCCTTTCCAAACAAAAGCAAGGAGGGTAAATATAATTCCTTCCACTGATGTGTTTCTGATTAGGGCTAAAGCGTGGGGTATGAGGGGCTTCTTTACTGTGGTAACAGGGTGGTCGATGAGTCCCTCTGGGTTTGACGACGGTTGTCTCCATTATCTTAATGGTTCCTGCATGTGTGCATACCCCGAGAAGCAGCCGTGGGTGGAGGCAGGCCATAGATTAATATCTGGCATTGTCTGGGAAGACTTCAGGGAAATGTGTCCAGCCTCAGCCGTGGGCTTCTGGGTGCTTGACTGTACAAACGGCAAAGCAAACCTTTGGCATCCAGAGAGGCGGGTATTTGGAGAGCTGCTTCAGGGATCTGTAATGCCCCCTGGCTAGTTTCTGCTCTGGGAGATTAGGGAGTAATGTTAACCATGTTAGAGTAATAGAGAGGGAATAGTAGACTTCAGATAGTGGTGGTAAGGCAAGTCACAGAGTGTCCTGGTTTGAAAGATGGCCTTTAAACCTCCCCTTTGGGCTGTCTCCAGCATGGTTGGCGCAGTTCTTCTGGAGGCTTGTCCTAAGCTTTGCAGCACACGGAATGCACCCTCATCCCCTCCCCACAAAGGGCCTACAGTACCTCCTCCCCTGACCCCGTGGCAGCTGCACGTGTTGTATAATTATAATCTCAGCCACCCCCAGGAAAGCTATCTCATATTTGGTTAAAGACTCCCTGGGCCT